CCCCCCCCCCCCCCCTACACCACGGCTAAGCCCTTATGTATTTCCTATTGTAAACCACCAGTCGGTAAAAGAGTAGGTTGTAATAGACAGAAATTGAATAATTCGAGTAGAAATTCACTCATTTAGTTTGAGAGAAAGCCAGATACATTTTAGAATTGGAATTTTAACTGCTTCTCCAAAGTAAATAGTGTTGCCCCTATTAAGTCAAAAAAGCGCTCAGCTGTTGATCCAAACTAAGCACAACCGACCAAAGCAACGAGGAATCATAGAAAATATAGGTAACCAACCTCAACTACGAGCAATCGCTGCTTTTCGGCGAACTCCGTCGGGCGATTACAAAAAAAAAACGGTGGGGAAAAAAAGGTTAGCGCGCCGCGAGTGGTAGAAGTAAGACAAGGTGTGATGAAGCAAAACCAGAGCAAACGCGGCTAACTTTGGACACTCCGTTGAAAACCTATGTAAAGCGTACATTTGTCCATCGGTAGGTTGCTCGTAACTACCTTCTAGCAATGTCGAAGTCTCTACGAGAAACACTGGAATATCTAGAAATGGGAAACAGTGAAGATCCAGCTGCATATGAACTGTTAAGTAATCTGATGGCAGATGAGGAAGACAGACCACCCTTTTCGATCGAGTTTATTGAAAGACAGCTCGAACATCATCGGCGAAAGAAAGAAGAAATTTTTGAAGGACTTCGCAATTCTGCTATGAAGGAAATATCTGGAGCTAAGGCGCCTATTAAAGATGAGCTTTGAGTGCGACATTTAATTAAGCAATGTACATTCAGGTTTAAGTTAGATCTTAGATTCGATTGTATTTAATAGGAAACCAGAACGTAAAAAAGGTCTAAGGGTCAAATATATTGAGACAAGAGTGACTCCAGTGCTCCACTGAAAATGTCCTTTAGTTTAAGCGAGGCATCGTTCCCCATTTATTCCCTTTAAGGTTTCAACTCCTGACTCCAAAGTTGTGGCCATTTGATAATTTCCTCAGGTAACAATGATACGTAGCCAAGCACTGATAGTTTAACATCGCGATTAAAGGTGTGCTTGTGTGATTCAATGCCAAATTCTCAGCTCTAACATTGTAACAAAATTATGAATATCATCAGTGAGATTTACGATGGATATCTTGGTAGTGAAAGGGTAAACATACAACGTTTCAAAGAGGGCGACACCATCAATGACACCATTGAAGAGCATTACAGAAGTATGTCACATTCGAACGAATTCATTCAATGTCTCTTCACTTATATATAGTGTTTGAACAAAGACGTGCTCTGATCGTTATACATCATGAAAACCGAGGCTACGTAGAACAAGATATTTATGAGAGTTTTGTTGAAACTCTTAAGGGGAAGCATGCTACGGAATGCGCGTGTTAAAAAGTATATGAAATGTCAGCGCGTTTCAGAATCGAAAGAGAACTTGTTTTCAGTAAGGACGCTGTATACAACTTTAGGCAATTTTTAGGTATTTGGTAAGCAGGGATGTAGATAATAACCGGAAGCCGGGAAAATTACCCGGCTGTGAACGCGATTTTTCCGGCTGTGAAGGACTAATTCTTTCTCCAAAATTTTTTTAAATGTTGTCAGAAGATTGTTTCACTATAAAAAATTGCGCAACTTGGCACATTCTGCATTGAAAGCCTCTGCCACCTAAGGCTCTTGTCAAAGCTCTCAATCGCTTAAAGAAACGTGACGACATCGTTATCACTATCGTTATATAAGCCCGATAAAGGTTCTGGGGTTGTAGTGATGGACAAACCTGAATACATCCG